CGCATCTGACTCGGCGTGGTCCCAGGCCGCGCTGGAAGTCGAGGAAGCCATCGCAGCAGAGGAGGCAGAGGCCCTGGCGGGGGTGCACGGGCGCATGCTGCTGCTATGGGTGGCAATTCCGAGGAGGAAGAGGGAGACGCAAGGAGGGGTGCGCAAGAGGATGGGGCACTACGGCACAAGGCAGTCGCCGCTGCAGCAGCCGAAGCAGCAGCGGATGCTGCAGCAGGAGTCATAGCAGCAGGAGTCACAGCCGCAGGAGTCACAGCCGCAGGAGATCCACACCAGCAGCAAGGGGAGCATAAGGCAGGAGACCACCCCACCGCCCTCCACCACGCCACATCCCTCCAGCCCCTCCTCGCCCACGCCTCTCCGCTCTCCCCTCCCACCCCTCCCAGCCGCCTGCGCAAGTTTCTGGCAGTGCACCACACCATCCACCTCTTCTACTGGCGCAACACCTCGCACTCCCTCAACCGCATTGTGCAGTCCGCCATCCTGGGGCTGCTCATAGGCTCGCTCTTCTTCCAGTACCGTGTGAACAATCTTCTGCAGGCCACCACGGCCCATGCATTCCCCTTTGCCGTGCTGGCGTTTGGCACGACGTGCCATGGGGCACAGCCGTGGGGCTGATCAACCAGACGAAGAAGATCTTCGCCAAGGAGCGCGTTTACAACCAGCACTTTTTGCAGATTTATACAGTGGCTCACACGCTAGTGGAGGTGAGAGTGTGTGCAGGCTTTGAGACGTCTCAAAACGAAGTCACGATCACACGACATGCCATGGATCGCGCATACAACCAGCACTTTCGCAGGATGTAAATGGCGCGCGGAACGAGCTCTGGGATTTTCTTTGTGCAGCATTTGACGAAACAAGCTCGTGTAAACTCATAGCTCGCTGACCCACATGTCTAGTTGGCTCACTCATGTCAGGCAAACTTTCATCAACCAGAAGTGAGGTACATCTATGAATCCTGAAACGGTAACATTATGGCTAATATTCCTCCATTCCACTCTCTCTCCCCTCTCTCCCCCAATCCCCCTCTCTCCCCACTCGCCCCTCAGATTCCCTACCTGCTGCTCACCTCTCTCGCCCTCATCACCGTGGCAGCGCCCTGGCAGGCCTGGCGGTCGGCAGTGCCTCAAAAGCCTCCCTTTCTCCTGCTCTCTCCCTCCCTCCGCCAGATCCCCCCTCTGCTCCTCACCTCCCTCGCGCTGGTCAGCGTGGCAGCGCCGCTGGCTGGCCTGGCGGTGGGCAGCGCGGGCACCTTCTTCTCCTTCGGTCTCACCCAGTTCCTCGCCGCCCTCGCTGTCACCTACTTTGGCTTCCTGCTCTCCGTGCTGCTGCCCCAACCCAAGGTACTGCCGCAACCCAAGGTACTGCCCCAACCCAAGGTACTGCCCCAACCCAAGGTGCTTCTCAATTCTACCCTAAGGTGCTGCCCGAACCCAAGGTACAGCACAACCCAAGGTACAGCCCAACCCAAGGTACACACGGAATCTACCCTGAATCCCATCCCAAGGTGAACGTGGGACCGCATCCAAAGGTACATGTGATTTCTACCCGAAACCCAACCCTACAGCCAAGGTACTGCCCAACTCAAGGTACTCTCTAGACCTACCATGGGGCGTTGAATAAGCCCAGGGTGCTTTCCAAACCCGAGGTATTGTATTGACACGCCTCCAAGATCTGCCAGGTCCTCCTCCCCTCCGCTGCCTACTTTGCCTCCCTCCTGTCACAACTTTTTTCTCCTAGCCCTAATTCTGCACCCCTCCCTTTGCCCTATTATGTACATCCCATTGCAGTCTCCTCTCCGTGCCCACAGTATGGTTGGAGTGCCAAAGTCACAACGTCCGCCTCACCTTCCTCTAGCCCCCGCCTTAATTTAGCGCTCACCTTCCTTGACCTGGCCACTCCCTGCACTCACAGTGCGCAGTAGTGGTTGCACCATTCCTCAGCGCACTGTGGGTCGCCTCACGTACACACTTCATCCCCCCCCCCCTCTCCATCCCCTTTGTCCCCTCCCCACTCACTCCCTACACCCACAGTACACGCCAGTGTTGATTTCATTCCTCGTCACAGCATGGCAGGCGTTAGTGCACCCATATCCCCCTATTCCCTTCCATACTCCCTACACCCCACAGTACGCGGCAGTGGTGGTGTTGTTCCTCATCACCGCGTGGGTTGCTGCAAATGCACTCAACCAACCACCCCCAACCCCCCACCCTACACCTACCTCCCTACACCCACAGTACGCAGCAGTGGTGATTTCATTCCTTATCACAGCATGGGTGGCCACGTGCGGCTTCTTCCTGCCCTTTGCCTTCACCAAGCACTTCTTCCTCGCAGTCTACTGGACCAACCCCATTCAGGTAACGTGGCATTGCGTGCACTCGTGTAGCATGCATTGCCATGTTCTTTTGTGGGGTTAAGGCCTGTACAAGCGTTTGCTAGATGCTTAAAAATGCTCAGTACCATTCCCGCTCAAATCAATTGACCACTTGTGCAAAATCACTGGTACAAAATTACTAATTTGCAAAACCACTTGTGCTCCTCCAAAGGTGAAAGTACCTCTTGCTGAATACAGGGAAGCAAACGCCGAGGCTGTACAAGAGCCGCTTAGGGAACAAATGCTGATCAAATCCTATCAGGGTGAACCAATTAAGATAACACATTGGCCCAATCCGAGGCTGCTGGTGTCAAAACCTTGACACTTCCCCTTCCCTCCAACCCACCCCTTTCTCCTATTCCTTCCTCCCTCGCCTCTCTTTAGTACGCCCCTCAACGGGCTGACAGCAACAGCCCACTACTGCAACACTGCAGCACCGCTGTGCCCCCTTCCAGGCTGCCCCGATCCCTTACCACGTTTCCCTTCTCTCCCTTACTCTCCTTCTCCCAACCTCTCTCCCCTTACTCAGTACGCCCTCAACGGGCTGGCAGCAGCAGCCTACTACTGCAACACCGCAGCACCAGAGTGCTCCCTCCCAGGACGCCCCAATCCCTTACCACTTCCCCCTTTTCTCCCTTTCTCTCCCTCTCCAACCCACTCCTTCCCCCCTCCAGTACGCCCTCAACGGGCTCACAGCAGCAGCCTACTACTGCAACACAGCGGCACCAGAGTGCACCCTCCCAGGCTGCCCCGGCGCCGCCCCTATCTGCGCCAGCTGCCCCTGCAAGTGGTACCTCAACCCTGTCAAGGGACCCGAGTACCTCTGGGATTTCCTCGTTGCCACCAGGTCCGCGCGCTCCGCAGTGTACTGGGACTGGCTCTTCCTGCTCTGCTTCTGCCTCGTGTGCCGCATCGGGTCCTTTGCTGCTCTCCGCTTCCTCCGTCACAACCGCTAGCCCATATTGGGCTGAGAACAGCCAGGGATCTTTGGCAGAGACGAAGTCCTTCAGTAGATAGGGTGCTTAGTAGCATAGCGGAAATCCGAGTTGAACCCTTGTACTGGTATATGAGAGCAAATGATTGATGATAGCAAGGCAATACCGTACAAGGGTTTATAACGTTTTACAAGAGAATACGAAACATCGAACTAAGTCTTAGCATAAACTAATGGTTTGAAATCATACCATAGATGGCAATATATGCTGAGTTTGTACCCTCTAAGGTACGACTCTATGCACGCTATATAACATACAAAGATATGTTTGACCCACCCCCTAGACTGGGTAGGGGAGTGCCTAGTGAGAGACAAGCAGGACAAGGTGGCACTACTAGTCCGACCTCTGAGGCAAGGGTTTGAGTGTTAGAATACGCGAATGGATGACTAGTAAGAGAAACACATAACATATACCTGTTGGGGTTGTACTCACTAGGAGCACACACCGATGTATAAGTATAAGTTGACACACCCCCTAGGCTAGAGAAGGGGTGGTGCTAAGCAAGAAGCACACAGCTCAAGGCGGCACTACTAGTTCAGCCACTGAGGCAGGGGTCCAGAGACCAGTCAGCAAGAGTACAAACAAGACTAGAGCAAGCCACGGCGGCACTACTAGTCCAGCCACTGGAGGTAAGGCCACAAGGCCAGTCAGACAGGTATATATAGTAGAGAGAACACAATCAGGGTCCTAGCAAGTGAGTAGCTACAGGAACAAGACCAAGTTGTACACAGTGCCACTGAAGATATCAGCTGTGTTGGCACCGGAGGCCAAGTGAATACGCGGGCCTTGCGACTCTGCTGTAGCTCACGCAGGAGGAGTACCGCAGCTGGATATGCTTCGCTTTGCCCTCAAGTTGATGCTCCTGAAACAGGAGATCATGGCCTGTTGTCAACGTACAGGACCGGGGCAGAGCTAGGCTGCTCACCTAAGTCAGTGAGCAAGAAGGTCAGCCAGCGGAGCTCCGGTGCCGCCATGGCACCGGCGTAGATCTCAGCTCACAGCTGGACTGAGCAACAGACAACAGCGAGTGGATCTCCAAGAGATAGCAACCAAACCAAGGCTGAAACAGTAGCCCTGAGACGACCTGAGAGTCTTAGCGTCGTTGCCCAAGAAGCCCTGTGTGCCCAGTAAGGACCACTGGCTGCGTCTCCAGCACTAACCCCATGCCCGATGTACTTGCTAGATACCGCAAAACCCTCTTAGCGGCTGACCAGTGCTGAGGTCGGTGTCTGCCAGTGGCCACAAAAGCGAGCCAGGATGCTGAGAGGGTATGCGAGATCTTGGCGAGTGCAAATCATCAGGTACATGAGCAACCCACCAGCTCTGCGTAGGGGCCGCTGGGCTCTAGTGGCTCCTCAGGAACGGGAGCAGAGAGCCCATGGTCTACAGGTAGAGGTGTGGTCTGTGCGGAGGAGAACTGAAGGCCGAACCTCTGAAGGACCTGACGCACCAAGTGTGACTGTGTCAGAGTTGATGGTGCGCGCTGCTGTATCCCTGGAGATTTGCACGCCAAGGTAGAGACGCAGCTCTCCAACGTCACTGTAGGTGTGTCTCTTCAGCAGCTCGGCCTTCATGGGGGCCAGTGCGTCCCTGTCAGCAGTAGCGAAGACCAGGTCGTCCACGTAGACAAGGATGTAGAACGGGGTCTGGCCGGAAAGCACAAAGAGCGAGGGGTCAGCAGAGGACAAGAAGAACTGCAGGTCTGCTAGCGTGGCACGCAACGTGTCATGCCACTCGCGGGGGCCTGGCGCAGGCCGTAGACCGGGCGCCGGAGAAGCCACTGGGTCCCAGGGAGGAGGTCGAGGGAAGCCCTATGGACGGCGCAGGTAGACCTGCTCGTGTAGGCTGCCCTGAAGGAAGGCCATAGAGAAGTCGAGTGAGTGAAGCTCGTGTCGCGGTGTGCTGCTACATGTAGCAGCGCCGAATTGCACAGTGGAGGAGGCATGTTGAGAGTAATGAGGTAAATTCAGGACAGGAGAATTCATCGACGAGGGGTACCCGAAGGGGCGAGAGATACGGGAGATTCCTAGTATGCCTCTCTCTTCCTAGTCCCACCTCCCTTTTCTCTCGATAATTTCCTACTCTCCTAGCTAAACCCCGCCGCCACTTTCATGGCGGCCCTTCCTACCTCCTAGTATCCTATTTCTAACATGGTATCAGAGCCGCAACTATCGTCGCCGTCATTGCAGTCGCCACTGCCGCTCTTGGCCTCTGGGGGTGCTGGCATTTAGGAGGGTGTTCGTCCTGCGGCTCCTGTCGTGGCCTGTTCCGGAGGGCCTGGGGGTTACGCTTGTACTGGAGGGAGTTCTCGCTCCGGGGGTGCTGGTTCTGGGGGTGCTGCCGTTGAGTGTTCTGCCGGCGGTCGTTGTGCCACTGCTGGTCCGACGGTCAAGCAGCAGCAGCCGCAGCAGCAGACGCCGCCGGTCTCCGCTCTTTGCCTGCTCGGCCTTCCCTCCCCTGACTGCTCGCCGGTGTCTCCCCCGCTACCTCCTCACCTTCCTGTCTACAGCCATGTGTTCCCGCCGTCGGACTCGTCTCCGGCCCGTCTTCCTCCTCGTTCCCGTCTTGTGTCCCCTCCGCTGTCTCCTGACCCTACACCTCCGTCCCACGTTTGGTCTCGCCGTCCCTCTCGTGCTCGTCCTGTCTCTCCTGTCCCGTGCTCCCACCCTATGTTGCTCCGTTTCCACTCATCTCGTCCTCCCCTCCTCCAGTCGCCTCCTCCGTCGTCGCTTGTTGTTGCACCTCCCCCGCTGTCTGACTACCTTCGTGCCGCTCGTCCCCTTGTCCCTCGGGTTCTTGCCTCTCTCGTTACAGATCCGTTTGTTCCTATCTCGTGCCTTGACGCGCTTGTCGCTACTGTCGCTGACTTCGCCTCTACCCACAGCCTTGACTAAACACTGCTCTGGTCTCTGACCCTGCCCGTCCTCCGTCTGTCGGGGGTACACCTGCCCTGGCAATGACGTTCTAGAGGACAAGCAGTACAAGCTTGCTTTCCTGTCCGAGGCCGCTCCCCATCTCTGCTCCATGCTCCTAGTCCCAAAGGGTGACCCAGACGCCTTTGACATCCCGACCCCTCGCACCTACGCTGAGCCACCTCGGGACCTTGGCCCTTCAATGGGTAGCTGCCATGGAGCAGAGATGGCATCTTGGAGGTCCACCGACACCTATGTCGATGCAGTTCCCCCTCCTGGGGTGAACGTAGTCGTCGATGGTCGGTGGCTCTTCAAGGTGAAGCGCCCCCCTGGAGAGCTGCCTGTCTTCAAGGTGCATTACATGGCTAGAGGCTTCAGCCAGTGCGAGGGTGTTGACTTCTTCCAGACTTTTGCCCCGACCCCAAAGATGAGTGGTTCACAGCCACGACATGCAGATGAGTGGTTCAGTGATAGCGAGGGGTACCCGAAGGGGCAAGAGATACAGGAGATTCCTTGGATAGAGAGGTGAGCAGCAAGAGTATGACACAGAGTAACTCGAGTCTGGCAGTGAGAGCTTATACGTATAAGCACGGTCAGCAGAGGCAGAAAGCCAAGCAGTTGCAAGGGAGCATGGAGTTGACTTAGAGTGTAAGGATGAAGACTACAGGGAAGCAGTAGAGGAGTGAACCACATGGAGGTGCATGGTTGGAAAAACCACATGGGAGGTTGTTGGAGTGGTTCCGCCACCCACAACGGAACACTCAAGACTTGGGGCAATAGAATGTTAAGTTCGGACTTGGGAGGAGAAAGAGATACAAAGCAATGAATGTTGCGTGAGCGTCTTGCGTACGGGAAGGGGGGAAGCTGTAGAGAAGTTTGAAGGAATATTGGTGGAAAGAAAGGAGATGGGGTGATTGAGTGGAAGGAAGAAGGGAATTTGTCAGAGGAACGAAATGGTCGAGAGAAAGTTGCAATATGGATTGATACAAGGCATTTTTATACTTCCAAGGTACATCAAGTAACCAGGTTTATCATATCCAAAGGGAAAGACCCTTCTTGAAATAGAATCACCCTGCGTATAGCCATGCGAGGCTATTGGCTTTAAGTGTTATCGACAGGATTACGCTAGATATAGCGCGTCAGTACATCCCAAGCCAGGTCTGTGATATAATTATAATAATAGGATAAACCAAAGGATAATGGAAAGTAAAGAATATGCAACACATGAGATAAGGTAAGGATTTGAATAAATTAGGAGAAAAGGGAGAAATAGACGGAGATGAAATATAGTAATGAAAAAGAAGTGTAACGGGGGCGTACTCTCACAGAATTGGCAAGAAACAGATTGACGTGGGGCAAAGTTGGGTTTCGGACGGGGTGTGTTCAACAAGCATTCCAGCTTCGGACCCTTTGGCATGTGCGACTCGGCGTAACACGAGGCGCGCAAGTACTCGCAGCGCACATGGCAGTAACGAACCGCGTTTGTTTTGTGTTGTTTGCCTATAAATCAATAAACTCATTGGAAATAGTGGAATGGTTGTATGTATTGACAACTTGCAACCACTTTGAGATCAGATTATGAAGCAAGGCGCTTGAGGATATTTGCAAGATTATTTCTACATACTTTTCGCTTTGCCGGAAGCGATAGTCGCTTACATGATCTGAACCACTTGTGCGGGTGACGAAAGTCCAGCGCCATCAGGGATTATTGGGTTTGACCAATCCGTCACCATCCCCTAGCCATGCTGGATGGTCACATGTAACAAAAGTCCCCATCCAGGCTCGGCAGTGGACCCACTTTTCAACGGACGCAATTTGCCACAGTGTAAACATCAGCTGTCATGTTTTGCAATCCCCAACTCAGATGAGTGCACCAAACTGAAATAGTGTGTACCCCTACAAGCACAAGTGTTGGAATCATCTCGAACCATCTAAAACCATAATAAAACATGTGCTGTGAGATGAAATTGGCTCTGGGTACAGGGGCTTGCGCACTTGAATCTGGCAAGCAGTTTGCACTGACTGATAAATCGGGAAACTACTTTTTAATGTGGCACATCGTGTGAATATTCAAAGGTGGTAAGTAGGGTAGTATTGGGTGTGGACTTGGGAGGAATATGGAAAAAGGAGTAGTGAGGCCGATGGGAGTAATTGCGAAGTTTTTTGCAAGTGTCTCGGCATACTTTCCTGCAGAGAGATAGATGACGCCGGGGCCGCAGTCGACGTTTAACCCAAGAA